ATGTGCTTTGCATTATGAAACAAAGAGTATGACTAACACACAATTTAACCAATTTTTTTCCATTATCAGTTTAATAAGTATTATGCCTCCATGCTCCTGGGCTCTGTAGCTCTTCTTTAGAAGTAGGATTTCTATAAGTAAAATGCGAAATTTAACTTTTAAATGGGAGACAAAAGTCTTCAAGATAGTAAAAATTTCTTGAGCTTCCCAACTCTTGTGAGGGAGCATTTTCATTCAAAGAAGGGAGAGTGAGTGAGGAGAGGTGAGTTCTGGACTTGGAAAGTGGCCACATATGCTGGGGTTTCCAGCCAAAAAATGTTTAGGTGCTTTGCCATTTAGGCCCCTACAAATTAGAATCAGAGTGGCTGATGCTTTCACAAAAAGAAGTGCATTTTCCACACAAAAAATGCAGTGAGATCCAGGCCCTGAAAGGCTTGACAATCAACCCAAAGCCCAGGCACAAAAATCTGTGTCCTGGGTACCACAGGGCAGCTTAAACAAGGCCTGGCATTTTGAACTGGCTGGAGTGTGGCGCTCACTCCGAGGCTGTGCTTTCCTTATTCGTGGGGTTAGCTCCATACTTGGGAGCCATTGGAAAGAGATTAATAAAATATGGCTTTTCCTGGAACAATACAAATCATATGACGCCTGGAAAAAGGAAAGTAGAAAGACTTGACATCATTGATAAGGCAAGGAAAGATGCTACTTCAGGAAAATAACAGATGATGCTGATGATGGCAGGTACAGAGGGCATTTAGGAGAAGCTGAGTTTCCACTTAACTGTTCTAAAATCAGTCTCGGTGACTTCACTGAAAATAAAAGTACTAATGTGTCTCCAGCACGTTCCATTTATTCTTTGGTCTTTATTGTTTCTCAAAGCTCACCAGCAGCTTATGTCATGGGAAATATCTGTTGTCTGTCCTTGTGCCCACTTCTTGGTTTGAAGGATTTCCTAAAGGCATTACTGGGATTTGTCTGAATGTTCTGCTCAGACACACTCAATGGCTATGGCCATCCCTGGGGGTCACAGGCCACCAGCTATGAACCGCTCCTTTCTTGGCTGTGGGACGACCACCCTCTCCCGATTTCTCTTACGTGGTCTTCAAATACTCCCTTCTCCTCATCACACCCATTTTCAATCCCCAAGGGGCTGGCATTTATGACTATCCTTGCTTTCCAGGGTCCCCATCTTTATAATGGCTCTCTTAGTTCAGCTCTACTGAGATTTTGGTGGGATAACTCACTCTCAGATGTTACACCCTTTAAAAAGGTACCATAAGAAATACATGAAAGGGGCCCTTTCATTTTCTGCTATGCAAAGCATAGGGGAAATTGCTTCAAAATCCCACCTTATGATGAAAACCACTGCTGGAAACTAGATCAGCCATGTTTTAAACTGGGTAGCCTCTTTCTTCACCTGATACCCTGAGAACAGTATTTCTCAGAGCACAGATGTTACTAGAAAAGGAAAAAAAAAATCTATGATCAAATAGGTCTGGGAAATGCTGGATTAAATAAAATTGGAGAGCTTTCTTTCTTATATGACTTTTTAGATCCTTTGATCTGCTAATTGCACCAAGACTCTCCAAGACTGAGTTATAATATGCAGCACTTTCCCCAAATTCTTTGCCCACTGAATCTTTGTTTCAAGACTTTCCTCATGGGACTCATGTTCCAAGAGTTACTTTGGGAATGGCTAGTCTAGACTTATAACCCTTGGATTCAGTTTCTCCTGAGGAGAAAGCAAAATCGTCATAAAGGAGAGAGGGAATGGGAAGAAATGGAAAAAGAATCTAATTCTGCAAGCTTGGCAATACTTCAATTGAATTTCCTAAAGAAAAATGAGTTTCTCTGGAAAAGTAGCAAGGTGACTGATTTTTTAATATTTCTTTGTTTTCCACGTTCTGCTCCCTTAATACATCTTAGGGGACAATGTCAACATTTGTAGCCCCTCTTCCAGAAGGCATGGTTGGTCAACCCTCAGGGCCACAGGGAAGTTGGGGCTGGAAGATTCATGGGAAGGGAGTCAGGAATCCTGGGATGAGAGTCAGGGGTCCGTGGAAGGGACTTCCCCTTCTTTAAGTCAGTTCAGCTAACATGGGTACATTATAGACATTTAGTTCTATTCTTGTCTAAATCAAGCCATTATTTAACACTCTAATGTCACATACTGATAGAAGGCTGTTACTTTTTCCTAAGAAGTAATGCTACCCCATGATATTAGTATCTATGCTTACACAATTATGTTTGTAATCAATTGGGGAAGACTCCCCAGCCTTTCAAGAATCTTACATTCTGGGACTTGGATTTATAACAAGGCATACGTTGATATATGAGTTGTTGATGATTATGGATCTCAGATCTCCAGTATAGGAGTGAGCATCGTGGTCCTAGCCCTGGGACACCAATCAAAAAGGGCGGCTGGCCCAGGGGATCTTGACATTTCTATTGCTGGAGTCAGCCCACTCACACCAGGGCCCCTTGCTTAACGCTTCTTCTCTTACTGAGAGAGTGCAGCAAGGGAGCCTTACAGCTTTGCTGACTCCAATTGAAAACCAGAAATTTACCCTTCTGGCCAACGGTATTTCACTTTCATGGCGAACCCACTGTAGAGTAAGATCCCAAGTCATGGGCCCCTAATTAAGTTATAACTCCCTTTTATCTGTCACGTTCTGATTGACATGGTCCAGAAAAGAACTGAATGAGACACCAGATGACCTGAATTTTTGTCCTAGGGTGAGACAGCAAACTCCTTGAAGGCAGGGGTTCTGTTTTGTCCATTATACTCTTGACCAAGCCCAGCATGGTAGCTGGCATGGAGTATGCGCTCCAGGTATTAGATGAATGAGCAAAGAGCCAGCAGCAGGACTCTCGTCAAGCTCATCCCCCTCCTGTCAGGGCCTGGATTTCCATCTGTAGAGGAGGATGAGGCTATCTGCCTCTATGCCCCTGGTGGCTTACAGTGGTCGCTGAGATGAAGCATGTGACAGTGGGAGGCCATCACCATCTTCCTAACAGTAGCAATGAGAAAGGAGTATCAGAGGTCCTGATGACATATATTAGCCAGACACTCCTCAAGGAATGCTAACTCTTCTAAGAAGGGCACCACCCCTGAGCCATGATTTCTACCCTGTGACAACCTCTAGTGTCAGCGGACAAACATAAGAGGGTCAACAGAGCAGGCAAGTCCTTTAGTTTATGATTAAAGAGCTCTGGAAAAGAAGCCGGAGCCAGACAAGCTTTTGTAAGAAATGTCATTCACAAGGCAGATAAATTTGATCCGGTGCCCTGTTTCTAGCAGGCCATATTAGCATATGTGTCTCTGTGATGAAACAAGCCTGTCTGTTATCTCAGCAGGTCCCTGTATGACCCATTTCCCCAGTTTGGCCCCAAATGCTTCTTTCTGACCCTAGAGTGCTCTCTGCTCCCATCTCCAGCCCAGGGTTGCCTTCTAGCACCAATAAAACCTCACACTCACCCCTCATGGGAAAGGTCAAGGAGCAAAGGGTAGAGACCAAGAATGAGAAAGAAGAGATTTGGTTAGGAGGAAGCCAGGTACACTGGGGCAGGTGAGTGTGTGTGTGAGTGTGTGTGTGTGTGTGTATGTATGTGTGCTGGGGGAGGGGACGGAGGGGAGAGACGAGTTTTGAATAAATACAATCAAATCAAACTAAAGCCACAGGCATACAAGATAGTGACACAAAATTTATAGCTCTCTGCACTTTGCTGATCTCCAAATTGAGAGCCACTTTTGAGGGCTAATCACATGAACTGGTGCCTTTTTGCACTTGGCTTCAGAAATTGAGATGTCCTGTGTGAACATCTTCTGCAGCGTTGAGGTCTCTGAGGGCAAATGTTTTCAAGGACAAGGGTAAGGCCAAGCTGGGTGGGGGTGGGCGTAGTGGGGCCCTGGTTGGAGCTACCTCACTGCACAGCTCCAGACAGCCCTTCTTATGTTGTGTACCATATAAATGGCTCCCCCTGGAGTTGTCCTCCTGAACACTTGGAATCTTAACTTCCCCTTTGGGATGCTAGTGACGTGAAGTGAAAAGGAAACAGAGCCATCTGACAAAAAGCTTTAGGGGCATAATAGGCATCCCTTCCTCCAGCGAACAACTAAGCCCCTCTTCACACAGGTAACTCCAATAAGCGCTCCCCTCACATATTCGGAAATATATAACAAAGGCACTCACACTTACCCAGATGATTCTATTCCATCACCTATGCCCCATCCTTCTTGAAATTTATTGTGTAAGTTACACTAGGATCGTAAAACAAGGTCATCGTATGATAAAGGAGGAGATACTGCTACTATTGACCATACTATCCTGCTGGTTTGCACTTAATTATATAATTTCCATAAAATTCCCCTTCAAGAGTTTTAATACTAAATGCTGTAGACAGTTTTTGCATTTGGTGGATGAAGGCAAATATTGTTGAAAATCACAGGGGATTTTGGGTTTTGTCAATCCACCTTACTTAGTCAAGGGAGGAGACAGGGTCCAAATCAAATAAACCAGACCCCTTGACTTCAATGTCCCCAATGCAAGCAAAACTGATTTCTCTTCATGCTGTTTTACCCCACTGGTAATTTGCATCACTAAGGAATTTTCTAGGAAAGTGCTCAGCAAACTCAAGGCTTCTCTGGTTGCCAAGCTCATGGAAACAAAGTGCTTTCTCTTAAAACTCTGAAAGGGACATTGCAAAGTAACCCACCATTAGATACAGAGCCAGCAATAGACTGCATATCTATGAAAGAAGAAAGGAGGGGAGGAAAGAAAATGCATAACATAAACAAGAACAGACAAAACCTTAAAGAGGAAGGAGAAAGGAAAACATTTAGATTGCTTGAGTGATGGAAATAAATACCAAAGCTATTAGTTTCAGTTCAAAGAACGTATCACTTTATGCTGTTTATTATTTCTTGAGGATTATTTATTTTATCTTAAAATATCCAAAGGGTAAAAGGGGTCCTGGAGGTAAGCGGCAAGGAAACTGACCTGGTCGGGAGAGGGCCTGTGATTGGAATGTTGCGACCTCCCAGGAGATCGGTGGTGGTGGTGGTGGTGGTGGTGGTAATGGTGGTGGTCCTCATCGTAGTTGTCCGCTATTAGCTTCATTCTGTTCTGGGTCTGCGCAGAACAAAAACCAGGGAAGATGCCGTCAGGAGCTAGCAGGCCAGCCAGAGAGACTCACGGCATAATTATAGCACCTCTAGGGCTCCCTTTGTTCCTAATCCAGAAGTTTCCATTTTTAGTTCAATCGAAGCTTAATAAGGAATGCACCATATGCCATATGCTTTGGGGAAGGAGGCTTTGTCACACACCCTTAAAGCTACGATGTTCTTGGGTCTACATTTGTAGATGTAAGTGCGCTCCCCGCATGTGATTTAAAAGGGGAAAAGAATGGACATGCCCTAAGGCGCTTTGTCTTACGTTATCAAGCAATCACAGGGATCCAGAATAAGCTTGCAATCACAAACTGCCAACAGTCACATCCTACACTCGAGAGCAAGCGAGAGAAGGAGGCCTGGATGGCAAGGCAGGAAGGCACTGGGTGCAGACACGGAACTACAGACAAACAACGGTCTTGCGAGACAAGACACAGAAATCCACTCAAAAGCTGCCAAATGCAAAAATATTCATGGAGATGGTTTGTTGCTATGATGACTTCTAATGAAAGAGCACGTGATGGATGTTCTAACTGATAAGAGCTCTTTGGGGAAACTGAGTAAAAGGGGCAGAGCCGACGGAGAAGAGCTGCCCACTCTAATTTCCTCCCCACTGTGTTTGTCCCATGAGGCGACTAGATGTTACAGTTGAACTCCCAATACCATAGGCGTGTTTTACTGTATTGTTTTATTATGCACCAGTGATGAATTGACCTAACAGGATCACAGCATCTAGAGAAATGCCTAAAGACCATCGAAAAAGGCAGATAAAAATATCCAGCCCAGGAAGCCGGGAAATGTGGAGACTATACATGTGGGTTTAGAGATAAGAGTGTCTGGATTCAAGTCCTGTCCACTTCTTTGATGGTTGGATTATGTGGTCTTTTGAAAGTTAACTATTTCTAAGCCTCAATTTCCTCACCTCTAAAATGGGATTAATAGTGCCTCCCCGACTTGGGTCCCTGTGGGCAAGTGGGGAAGTGTCTGTTCAGGACCTGGCACAGGAGGATCTTACCATAAAAGACTAATGCTGTTTGTTATTACCAGTATTGTTGCTGTTGTTTACTATAAGACATTTTTCCTTCTTGACACATGTTGCTTCCTTTGCCTGCGACACCTCCCCCAGTCACCTTCCCCACCCCTAACTTCTGGGTCTGGCTAACTCACAGCCTTCTCCTGACCCCACCCTTGAGGCTGGGTCACGTGTAGCTCCTGCTTACCAGAACTCGATAACAATGGATTTGCCTGTTCACCTTTTGGTAGACTTGAGGCTGTTTCTTTCATCTGTCTCTCCCCCGATGTCAGCACAGGGCCTAGCAAATGTAGATACACTATGCATGTTGCTGCAATGAGTGACTGAAAGAAAGAAGGGGCTATGATTTTTGAGCGGTGCCGCCATTCTAGAGGTGAGCTGCACGTTTGTTTTCAGCCAGGGAAGGTCACTGAGAGTTGAAGACATCTCATGAATTGCCATAACAATCTCACTGGTAGCTCGAGACGACAACGAGCCATCAGCACTTGGAGACAGCTGGAAGTCAGAGGCTGGCAGAGCCGCCAACCAGTTGGAATTTTATTGTGTAATATAAATAATACTCGGATGATAATTCTGGACCTAACATAGTGTAGTCTTGTAGTATTTTTCATGTACAATCTAACTTTCCCTCAAAACTTTCCTTGGAGGAATTATTACTATTTTCATTTGCAGCAAGAAAATCAAGGCATAGATTTCAGCCCCCAGAGCATCTTTCTTGACATAAAACATGGAGGTTTTCTGGGTCTTCCAATTCTTAATCTCTAGGCCTTTCTCTTTGCCATGCTGCTAGCAAAAAATGGCAAACAGCTGAACAGGTAGAAATAGCTTTCCCATATTTTCTTCAGCTCTGTTAAGTTTTAGAAACACCTCACATTCCAATTTACCTGCCAAAGGATGTCTCATGGTTTGCTCATTCCATTTAAAAAAATGTGTGCAATATTTGAAAGGCCCCAGAGTGGGTATAAAACGAGATGCATTATATAGATGAAAACAATAAAATTAGAGGGGAAGATCCATCTAACAATTAAAAATCCCAAGCAACCTTTGGCAGCAGATAACATTTCTATGCCTCACTTGTCCACTTAAGGAATCAGAGGACCCAGTGGACAAGTTACATCTTGGGAGAAAGAGAAGGTCAGTGGAGCTGTTGCCAACCAAGTACTGAGATTCCCCTCCCCACCATACAGGAGACCCTGAAATTCAGCGTTCACACCTAAAATTCCAGTATTGTCAGGAGCCTGTACTTTTGAACTTATGAACTAGTAAATCTGGAATTGTGTCTTCTCATAGAATTCTGAGGGCCTGAAGGGAGTTGTAAGATCTGCTATGGTCAAGAAGAAAGGGACTTGCCCAAGAATGAACGATGGAACCTAAATGAACAAATAATAACCGCTATTGTAAACATCATAATGTCCTTATCCTTTGTGGAAGCTCCTGTGATTTTATGAGATTATTTTCTTACCAGGAACAAGCCTAAAGTTCCCTACCTTTGAACTGTATCCCATAAAAGAATGTACAAGCTAAACAAGATGCTGTATGCAGTCCTAAATGTGTCTGCTGAAATGAGGTGTTGGAGAGTAGGCATGTCATGGGATAAAGACTGTAAATGAATGATGTCATCTTTTCAATTTGGTGCTGAAATATAAATAAACCACGTTGTTCATGTGAATACCAGATCTGGGGGAAATGTACACAGAACAATTGTGAGCGGAAGAGCCTTCTTTTGATTAGTCTGGGCTGGGAGAGAAGAGTGTGAAATGGAGATGAAAAATGAGAGCTTGGCCTGATACTCTAGACTACTTTTATTTATCTTGCTTGTAACATATCCCCTAAACTGTGATGGATTTCTTACAGGCTGGTTGCTAGTTTTCCCTTCTATAAAAAAGTTGGACCAATCCTGCTTACTTAATTGTAAAATTGAAAATGAATCTCTTAAAAAAATTTTTTTTTTAAAAATCTACACTACCTACCCTCATCACTACCCAATTATATTGGTTTCTTAACACACCAAGAACGGTCTGGAAGGATAGGAAGCCATGAATAAGACTCCCTAAAAGCCAGTGGGGAAAAAAATGCAGAAAATTGGAACAAGCATTGGAACAAGGATACTATTTGTTGAAATAACGTCAGACACATTTACCAGGCGATTCCATGCATCGTGGTTCATGTCCCTGTAGCCATCGGGTCCACAAGGTGCCTACCACAAAGCTTTAAACAGTAAATCTGCTGGCAGTTGTCGTAACTGAGTTCCCAGGAAAACTAATATCCAGTTGGAGAGGGGTAGCTTTCCACAGCACCGCACTTGGGAATGCGTGGGCTCACTTAGCAATTCACTGAAGCCCATTTTTATTTCCTTTTCATGTCTACCAAATGGCTGACCTGACACTTCTGCCCTTGGCTAACTGTGTTCTACTCCTTTTACTGTATTATGTCATGACTGCTGAGACAAATCTAATCAGATTTCATTTTCTACTTCCTTTTTCTTCCAGGCACCACCTTATTTCTCTAGGGCAATAGGCTCGTAACAGCTCTCCTGCTGTCCTCTTGCCTCCGGTGAACATAATCTGTAGTCAGAGTGACATGAGACCCTTTACTCCCTGGCTGCAAGTTCCTCAGAGGCTCTCCACTGCCCTTAGGAAAAGAGCCCGGTTCCTTCATAGCTGCCAAGGTTCCTGGGAGGTAACTGCTGCTCAGCTCCCAGCCTGCCTCTCATCCCTCTCCTCCCCGGCCCTGGGCCCTGCTGGCTCTGTTCCCATCATGCCCTTCATCCTCTACCTTTACCTGAGTTATACCCGTTGGTTCATCTGGTCTCAGCTTCAACACCATCATCTCCAGAACTGCCTTCCCTAAACCCGCCTCAGGGATTAAGTGCTGTCCCGTTGCCTTCCCAGAATCCTCTACCCACTCTCCATCCCCCTCCCATCACAGCACTTACCTCAATGAATGCTAAATAATTATGTGCTTTCTTGGCTTTTTCCACCACTAGATTGAAAATCTCCTGAGGGAAGCAATATTTCTGAATTACCCTTGTACTCACCACCTTGTACAGTCTGATGTATAAGTAGAAAGTAAATATGTGTTGAATAAATGTATGAATGTATGAAGGAATGGATGGAAAGGGTACAGGCTACTTTAGAACAGATGAAAAAAAATACACAATTAGCTTCTACGATGAGCCAGTTGAGTGTGTAACTCTCCATGTATTGGTTAACTTTTCCTGTTACATGTTTGTTTTGGGTTGTTATTGTCCTTGGGAGTGGGGAGAGCAGGATAAATGTTTTGGAGCTGTTGGGAAAGTCAAATTGTTCTTCTTCAAGAAATATTCCATTCTTTAGTAAAATGGATCCAGCGCGATTCTCTACCATGTCCCTGGTTACTTGCCTCATTAAGAATAAAGGGAGTTGGGATGTTATGGGGTTCATTTCTTTATTACCCCCTTTGGAAGAGCAGGAGCATTTAGAATACTTTTGTCAACACCAAAAGCCAACCATGGAAAACTGAAATTTTCTCCGTTAACTAACATCCCTGATGAACACCATCTGTGAAAAGGTGCCATATATTCCATCTCTCTTGACATTTCTGAAGAGTTTATCCAAGGAGCTCTTGAAACAAAAATGAAATCCTTCATTGATTAGTAATAGGCGCAATGGTTTAATGGCAATGTGTAGCTATAAACGTGTAATATTAAAACTGGCTTTAAAAATATTTTATCAAGGTGGCAGTAATGAACAATGCTTTCATCAGGCATCTGGATCAAGTTAACAATAAAACCTTCATGAATATGGTTTAAATAAGAAAAAAATATAATAAGATTTGCTGCTATGGGATATGGAGATAATGCCATACAATAGCAATTACACTTTATTCTATCAGGTTTTCTTTTCTCCCTCTTTCCTGCATGGAAAACCCAAAATACTCTAGAATTATTC